TTATGGAGAATAAAAGGTTTAGCTTGAGGCGTGTCAAAGACACTATCCTTATGGATATTTCGTCCACATCATAATGAATATTATTAGGCATCTCCCCCAGGATTCAACAAGCTCTTCTAGTATAACTAGGAGCAGAAACAACAAAGATTAACAAAGACAACCCAGCACAATAGTAGAAAAGGAAAGAAAAGTTTTAATTTTTTCACCCTCTCCAAATGAACGCATAGAAAAACATATATAGTCCAAAGATCTTAACTTCTGATGGTATGCAACATTAAAAATATTATTAAAAGTCATTCAAAGGCTATTCAAACGGGTGTTACAAAACAAAAGCCATCAAAGCTAATAAAATAATAGATTTAGCTTTGTCAAAAGATTAACTTAAGGAATAGCTAGTAAATGTTCAGATTCATAAGATATATATTTTCCTGCAGAAGACTTTTATTTTTCTAATTTTTTTGCAGGCTTCTTTTTGGGGAAAATTTCTTGCAAACATGAGCTAATCGCAATTGCCATTTTCCAAAACAAGATAAAGAAAAACGACGATGTGAATAGAAAATATTACTCGCACTCAGTAATTGTATAATATCCACACATCTCAGTTTGTGACTCGTGCATCTTTTTGAGTTAAATCATTTGGTTTAGTACAGAAATATTGAGTAATTTTTTTTTCCAAATAAATTAGAGGAACAAAATACTGCTGTTTCTTATTTTGGCTTTGAGGCTCTTTAATTACTACTGCCTTAACATTGACTAGTAAACTTGCTAGTTTATTTTTAATATTCCTTATTAATTGAGGGTTGTAAACCGGACAAAACTATATTCACTACTTTGTTTAAAATTGAATGGATAGAAGTCCTTCAGAAGAGATTAATTAAGAATTAAAGAAGCTAGTTCTTGTATTTATTAACTAAAAATATATAAGAAGTACTAATAACTACTAAGCTTGATTCATATAATTGGCTCAAGTACGTACTCTCATTCCGTCTTGGTTTGTAATACAAATTATGCTTTAAATCTTATAACTTTATTTCGAGCTACTACGCCAACAAATTATAAAAATTATTTGAAAATTAGAAAGTTCAATTATATTGGTCTGACCGGCAATTTGTGTAAATATTCCTAGATTATTCAAAGTATATTCCGTTTATTATAATAACCAATGAAATATAAAAGTACATTATTGTCACATATGAGTTTCTTTACGAGTGATTCATGTTCGTACACATAAACTCAAGTACCCTATTACTTTGGCTTTTTAAATTTGACGGTCTAAATTTAGTCTAACTTTATGATGGGCAATAACACGTACGGTGCAATGAGAACCAAATGGATGGACGTCCCAACTCAATCATCGTTTCGAAACAGTGGCTACAACGGCGGAGTCAGAATTTGGAGTTTATGGGTTTGGAATTCTATTCTTTTTAAGCTACTGAATTTTAATTTAATAATTTGTATATAATTAATGAAATTCCTAAAACAAATGAAAGGTTTGGATTGAAGCTACTGGATTCAGTCGAACCTGCAACAGAAAAGCTAGCTCCGCCCCTGATAACGCACACAAGATTTCTCGTAAGCGAGATCAATATTTAAAGAAAAGACGAATAAATAAATTACTCTAACGATAAACGACACCATTTTTTAATATTTGTAGTCAATACTTCATTTATATATATATATATATATATATATATATATATATATATATATATATATATTTAATAAATTCGAACGAAGCGATATGACGTGACTCTGTTCGAAACAAGGTGCATGTATCCGCCCCTGTTCGGAAAAATATCTATGAACATTCTTGTAATATGTCCACACATATACTTTTGTTGCTCCATATTTCACTTTTTGTTAATCAAGTGTCTCTATATCTAACATAGAAAAAGAACACGTTATACTTGGTTCAACCACAAGAACTCTGCTAGGAAATAAGTGAACCCTACTAACTCCCTAACTATCCCTAAACACATACGGGAAAAAACCAAACATAGAACCCCACAATTCGTGGAGAATATTAAAGAAGTGTCCAAATTTGAAAGTCTTGAACGTGTATAACAATTCACCACCCATTGGTCATTCCCCTCCCTCCAGACAAGTCCTCTTTATTAAATTGTATATATTCAAGATTTCTAACAATTGCATGCACCACCTTATTGAGCTATAATTGTATAGTGATATCTGAAAATATATCTGGATTATTGAGTCTTGGTTGATTAGTTCGCCAAAAAGCATGGCGACCAGCTGCGACTCCACAGTGAAAAAAGGTGATGAATATTCTCATAATAAACCAGTTGAATATCAAGATTCAATCAAGAACTTTGGATCTTTGACAATGGTGGATGAAGGAGATAAAATAGGCAATTTTTCCGTCGAACCGGAGAAATTGGCAAGAGGGCAAGAAGAAGGTCCATTGTTATCGGGACGTGAGAAGTTGAAGAGGCATTGGACAAAAGTTGGAGGTAGGGTTTTTGTGCCTGAAAAATGGGGACATGAGGATAATTTGAGGGAATGGATGGATTATTCTTCATTTGATACACTGCTTGCTCCAAAAGGATTAAATTCAGCTCGTGAAGCTTTGATATCTCAAGGAAAAAGAGCACGTTCAGGTTCAAGTTCAAGTTCAAGAATGCTAGGAATCAGAAGTAGGTAGTGAGAAAAAAAAAATTAGGCTATTTCAAGAATAAATGCTGAGGTATTTTTAGATTTTAGTTTCAATTTTGATCATTTGCTGAAGTTTTGTTTAATTTTGGCGAATTTGTTAAATCAGGTCCTACTTTGGAATAAAACAGGCCAATATGACTAAGGCCTTAATTTGCAAAGTGCAATTAAAGACAAGAATTTAATCATTTATGTTCTTCACACGAATCATAGCACTATCAGTGGGATCGTTGGGATTTCTCTGCTTTTAACCAAATATCTCGAGTACAAATATTAGAATAAAAAAATTCTTGATATGAAGCGCTTCTCCATTAACAAGTCTAATCGGGGCAAATTTAAACTAATTGGTCAGTAAGGTTTGGACACCATATGCCTAAAACAAGAAGTTCTTTGTTAGAAATAGATGCAAACTTAGTTCCCTCGGTGCTTAAAATATTCCCTTGCCTGTTTCATGTTCTGCCGCCCTATCTATTCTTTGTCCCTCTGCAGCTCTCCATGATTTTGTATCACCAATTAAGAAAATTGGTTGAGATTGGCTTCTTTTAGACCTAGAAAAGGCGTAAGATAAAGTCTCGAGGGAGGTTCTGTGGAGATGTTTGGAGGTTAGCGGCATTCCGGTAGCATACACTAAGGTGATCAAGGACATATATGATGGTGCTAAGACTCGGGTGAGGACACTAGGAGGTGACTCAAATCACTTTCCAATAGTGATGGGGTTGCACCAGGGATCGGCTCTTAGCCTGTTCCTATTTGCTTTAGTGATGGATGTGCTGACGCAGCACATTCAAGGGGAGTTGCCATGGTGCATGTTATTTGCCGATGACATAGTATTGATTGACGAGATGAGAGGCGGGGACGAGAGGCGGGGTTAACGCGAGGCTGGAGGTCTGGAGACAGACTCTAGAGTCTAGAGGTTTCAAGTTGAGCAGGACCAAAAGGGAATACTTGGAGTGTAAGTTCAGTGACAAGACTCATGAAGCAAACGTGGATGTGAAGCTTGATATCCAAGTCATCCCGAGAAGGGGTAGTTTCAAGTATCTCGGGTCTATAATCCAAGGTAACGGGGAGATTGATGATGAGGTTTCCCACCATGTTGGTGGGGGTGGATGAAACGGAGGCTCACATCCAATGTTTTGTGTGATAAGAATGCCACCAAGACTTAAGGGTAAGTTCTATAGAGTGGTGGTTAGACCTACTATGTTGTATGGGGCTGAGTGTTGGCCAGTCAAGAATTTCCATGTTCAGAGGATGAAAGCAGCATAAATAAGGATGGTGAGATAGATATGTGGGCATACCAGGAGAGATAAGATTAGGAACGAAGTTATTCGAGACAAAGTGGGAGTGTCCCCCGTGGAGGACAAGATGCGGGAGTTGAGGTTGGATGGTTCGGGCACGTACTAAGGAGGAGTACAGATGCTCCTGTTAGGAGGTGTGAGAGGATGGCCATGGCGGGTCTGAGAAGAGGTAGAGGTAGGCCAAATAAGTATTGGGGAGAGGTGATTAGGCAGGACACATCGCTACTTCAGCTCACTGAGTACATGGCCCAAAATAGAAGGGTGTGGAGGTCGAGGATTATGGTAGACGGCTAGTAGCTAGTCGAGAGTTACCCGTTCTTTACTATTAGTATTAGTAGTGCTCTTGTTTTTTTGGTATTCTTTGACCTCTAGTATTTGCCTATTGTTTCCTTCGCTCTGTGTGTCGTATTTTCCTGTTTGTTACATTTTGATGATACTTTTTCTTTTACTTGTTGTTGTCCTTTTCTCCCTTTCTCCCTTTTCCTTACCGTCCTTTGTCTCTCCCTTCTTTCACCTTTTCTTAAGCCGAGGGTCTATCGGAAACAGCCTTTTTACGGCACCAGGAAGAGGCAAGGTCTGCATACACACTACTCCCTGAATTCCACTTGTGGGACTATATTGAATATGTTATGTTGTTGTTTATTGGCTTCTTTTAGAGTGAGTCTGTCTCAAGCTAAAATGTTTAAAAAAAAAACAAAGTTCGTAGAAGAGCAAAGGAAGAGAGTACTATGGTGTGTTGACTGTGTTCTCCATTTTCTATGATAATGATCTTGTAATTTCACGAATTAGAACCCTCTCCTTACAAGACACTCTTATACTCGAACATGCTTGAGATCATTCTCTTTACAATATGTAACTTCTACGGCTTTCAAGAATTCCAATTTACGAAACTATACAAACTTATAACTTTTGTGTGATGTTGTATCAAATTAACTTTGACATTCATTCTTTTTTATAAGGACAAAAAAGATAGTAAAGTAATGATTGAAAGTTAAAGTAATGATTGAAAGTTAATTTGTTAAAGCATATCCTACACTGTATTAACAACTAATATAATTTATAACCCAAATTAACATCTCAAATTCGTCAACATACTTTCATGTAAAATGCAAGAAAGTACTTATACAATAAAAATTATTTCCCATCACCCCATAGTGTCACACATAAGCCCTTATGACAGAAATTTTAAGTACCATATTTCATTCAACGAATTTCCTCCAAAACTACAGCAAATATTTAAAAAAAGGCCATAGCATGGCAGAGTTGCAAAACAATTATTGAAAGGTCGATTCTGTATCAGGCTCAAATAAGCTCCATGACTGCAAATTTATTCAGCAGGCCGCTGTCCCAAAACTGAAATATCCTCATAACGCTTCTGCATTCCATAATAGGAACACAAGTTAGAAATGGATGAAATCCCAGTGACAAGAAACCTTTTAGAACAGCAGGAGCAAGAGGGAAATTGAGTGGGCGTTTGGACATAAGAATTGTAAAATTTCAAAATAGGGAGAAAAATTTTTTCAAGTGAATTGGAAATTTTATGAACAAACGCTAATTTCAGAAAAAAGTGAATTTTTTTTGGAAAAAAGCGAAAAATTTCTTATGTCCAAACGGCTCTAAGTATGGGAACAAACCAATAGATCAGAGATAGTTACTTTTAGAATATTCATAAACTGCTATTATGCAATTATTTTAGAATTGTTCTTAGAAGCTGTCTGTTTTTCATACATTCAAAATCTTTAGTTGTAATGTATATTTTACTAAAGTTTCGTCCCATGTCTTCGAGACTCACTGAGTACAATGGATGGTACTGGCGTTCTCTTTTGGGAACCTATGTTGGTCTGCGGTACAACGTGGGAACNTTTCTGGAGGCGAGGTTGATTCGATATTTTAACTTTATGTCATAGTTCCATTCACTAGTCTTCCACAACATTAAGAGTTCTTTATGTAGAGACCTAATGCAATTACTGACTGACTACACTGAAGCAAATAGGAACAGACATTCAGCATTCAACGTCTTGCCTTCTTGGAAAAGTTAGCAACGCTTTCTTGTTTCTTCCTACTGGTCTGCTTAGTACTAATACGCATATACATCATTTATCATTTCTGCCACAAGGTACACAATCTGAAACTCATAGCTCTTCAAGACTTCTCATTAGCTTTGACAATTAGCCTAGAAGTCAGATACCAACTCTTCAAGTTCCTATTTACCACAAGACCACTAGCAAAATCTTATTTTGTCAACGATCCCTGATGATGCAAAATGTGTCCTAAAAGTGATGTCATTTTTACGATGGAGAAATTTGGAATAGAGAAAAGGAAAAAGAAGAAAGAAAATGTAAACAAACTACTGGAGTACAGATAGACACCAAGGTGATGGCCTAGTGGTCGAAGTTGGAATGTCAAGTCCAGACTAGGTGAACTCTTCACATCTGACAAAACATTGAAACGCAAAGTACCCCAGTACTTGTACTATTAGGAGATAGCAAGAACTAAGCGGAAGAATAGAGATGCGTACAAGCTATCTATCTATCTATCCCTCTAGAATATAGACCATGAGAGGGGGGGGGGGGGGGGAAGAAGTAGTTGGCTGGAGTAACAGATTAAAAAAACAGAAATTAATAGAAATGGAAAAATAGAAGTACTAAAGATGGGAGAGATGTTTAAGTAATACGAGACCAATAGCCAAATATGTACTCCCTCCGGTTCACAATAAGTGACCAATTTGCTTTTTCATTTTGGTTCAAAATAAGTGTCCAGTTATGTAATCAAGAAAGAATTCAATTTGTTTTTACAAAATAACCCATATGTACCATAAAAAAGTTTTCTTTACTCCTCACATTAAATGTTTAATTAGGGGTAGTTTAGTCATAGTAGGTATTTTTGTATAGAATATAGTATTTTCTTAATGGGCGTGCTAAAAGCAAATTGGTCACTTATTGTGAACCGGAAGGGAGTGTTAGTAATAGATGGTTCTCAGTGGAGGTCATGCATTCTTACGAGGGGTGTATGGATAGGGATCGAGAGCGAAGAAGTTGATTTTCTGGATAAACGGTAATGGCAGGCAGATCTTTTTTGGAAAGACAGCGCGTAAGAAAAAAACTTTAGAGAGGCATTTTCAGAGGTGTAATCGTGTTGTGGTGAAGTGACTGGAAGAAATAAGGGGTTGACTATTTGGAGAGAGGTAGCCAGTGGATGGCATCAAATTATTGGAATATAAATTTCTGAAGGACCATCTAGATAAGAATTTAGGAGGTCCAAATCATTCTTACCTAAACAATAAAATTGCCCAATAGAGTATGAGGAGGGACAAGGTGGTATGAACAGAGAGAGGCAACGAATATGTCTTTACATTACCTTACTACACAAAGTTACCTAAAGGTTTGATGAGAGAATGGTATAGAATGTCATGGGACATCAAAACTACAGTAAATACTCCATCCTTCGATTTTATTATGAACTATTACTATATGGGGAATCAAAGAGTTTTCTTTTTGACTATAATTTTATCAAACACTTCTTTTACATATACTATGTAAGCAGGTTTCAAAAGAGTAAAAATCAACGGGCGAATTAACACTGAAAATAGAAGGGTTTGACCCTTAGAGATGCAATTATATTGCAGATAATTACAAAGATGGGTCATGGTAAGTTGGTGTCACTTATGCAACGAGCAGGGAGATAATAACATGTTTGCAAATTTTGGAGCCGTGCATTAATGCATTTCAACATGGCAAGAGGATGTTGAAGAGGTATCGAGGCAATCCATGATATGAGGGATGTTGAGTAGGGTAACTGAGGCAAAGGGAGAAACACATCTTGGACAATCCACCCCGTGCCTTAGGCAATTGGAATGAAAGAATGAGAAGCAGCATACAGAAAGCAAGAGCAATATAACAAGTGTGGAGAATTTTTGTTTCATTTGAACTTTCAGTGTCAAAAGAGAAATACAATGTGTATGTATAACTAGGCTAACTTAGCCGTGGACCATGGTGGGGTTATGCATTCACTTTTTATGTACATTTTTTGACCACTTCTGGTGTGAAGTAAATGCGAGTTTTGAGTTATCCAAAAAAAGGAGTTAATAAAATACCCCTTCTACTCGAGAGGACACTAAAATAGACAGAGAATCAAAGGGGCAAACTGTTTTAAGGTTAGAATGTCAAAGACCCAAATGTATTCTTCGAACTCAATAATAGATCAAAGTAAATTCCATCGGTGGCAAAGTGTCACCTAAGGGTTCACGAGAACTCAGTAGCTTCTGCAAATATCATGTATGTATGTATATGTATATGTTCATTACATATCTATAAATATTTTAACGGTGAACCCAGTTATTATTATATACTCCCACCGTTCCAGTTTATGTGAACCTATTTCCTTTTTGGTTTGTTCCAAAAAGAATGACCCCTTTCTAAATTAGGAAACAATTTAGCTTGAACTCCTAATTCTACCCTTAGTGAGAAGCTTTTATAACCACACAAATAATCTGGACCCCTTTTTGACTTTTTTAGGACGATAAATTTTAAAATCTACATTTTTTCTTAAACTCCGTGCCTAGTCAAACAGGTTCACATAAATTGGAAGAGAGGGAGTATCAATTTGAGGTCGTAATAGGAACCCATAAACTTCAAATTTTGAATCCGCCTCTGAATTCCATACACAAACGACATCTTACCTGATGATAACTCATACATAATTGCCAATGCTCTATGCTAAACCTATGTTGTATCACCTCGTTTTGACAAGTTAAGCAATTACGTAAATTGTTGAACTTTTCTCCACAATAAATTTAACTTACACGTTTTATCGTTAATCTTTAAGACATTATACCAGGATTAGTGAGTTGAGAGATTAACATCATAAGGGCAAGTTCCGTACCCTTGAGGTAAAGTATTTACAATGACCAAACATATGTGGGGTCCAAAAAGCCAAAGCTGGTGCTACCTAAAAATCAATCTCCAGATTCCTCACATAAGCATATACCAAGGGACTGATAATGAACCGGCTTTGTTTTTTGGGGTGTGATTTAATAGTGATAACGAGTCACTTTGCGAGAACTAAGTCAACTTAAGGCTAATTTTTAGACAATAGGCTAATAATGAGCTTTTCAAAATTCTTGAATTCTCAAGAGTCAAAACAGCAGGCCCAGTACATGTTTGACCCACGTGAGCCCAAAGAATAAAACAGCTAAAATACCCCTTTCTGAGCAACTGTTAAATTTATGCAAGCACTATAATAATACCTACTAATAAATTTTAAAAGTAAGATTGCTCATAGAACAAAAAAACAAAAAATAAGTGCATTAGAAACTTTATAACAGCTTTAAAAAAGGGCTGAAAGGACTCACATGCATTTTAAAGTTTAGTTTAGTATCAATTAGGTTACGTCTACATCACTTCTACCAAACTAAAAAGTTAAGTTTAACTTAGAACNNCTACATGCATTTTGAAAGTTTTGTTAGATCAATTGGTACTCTACATCACTTCACCAAATAAAAGTTGTTAACTGAACAAGGAGAAGATAAAGACGAGTTGCATCTGAACATATCCAACTAAGACTGGAATTGCCTTTTCTTTTCAGGATATTAATAGACAATGTAACACCGTAAAACAAGAAAGCTGGCATATATTTAGGCGCTTTTAGCATATTCATTGACAGCATAATATCAATGACATTCATGCATACAACCAAGTCAAAAATCATGCTCAACAGAGAATGTGAGAACACATTTCTTGATCCATGTCCCAGTTGCGGAAGACTAAATCAAGCACAATCTTTCAAAAATGTGACCCAAAAAATAGTCAACATCTTGTTTCTATGTGAGATAAGTATCTTTTTATACGAGGGCGCCCGGCCAACTTGTATGCACCTTGATTATTCCTCCAGGTTCCTGCTACCTTCAACCAAGAAAGGTATCAGGCAACTCTTCCCACAACAGCATAAGCACATTGGAAGGAATACCCTGCATTTTCATCTTCGCTAAGATTTAGACCCCAGTCTCTCATGGTTTTTATTCCACTCTTTTGACCGCTACGCCATACCCTTAATTTGACACACATTATATTAGAACTAAAGAGTAAATATTTTGTGTGTGTGTGTGTGAGTATAGATATGATTCGACACTGAAAACCAGAAGCATCATTCTTGTGACAAAGGCATATAGGGGGTAGATTAAAATTCTTAATTGGTCTTGCGAAGTGGGTCAACGTTTCTATCACACGGATAGAGGGAATACAAGCTTCTAACTGCTCAAACACTAGAACCACCTAACAATCACCTCAAAGGAGGTGAAAGCACCCAACAAGCTGCGCAAATTAAAGTACCATACACCTACAGTGGGACCGTCTTTCACTGTTCCACATCAGTGAAAAAGGGAACTAAACCATCTAAGTCACTTAACCAATGCATCATTCAAACTTGAGCTTAATCACAACTCACCCAAAAGAACTCAAGATTGTTCTTTGAGATTCTTAATCAATGTATAGAATCGCATGATGTTATATTCTAAGGCTATTGGCCTTCCTTTGTTTCACAAAATCTAGTCTATCAAAAAGATGCATCATAAGAACAATAAAGGACTCTAAGGCACAACAACTTTTAATTAATCAAGAAGCAGCCTATCCATATAATTAGAAAAAATGGTCATGCCCTCCACATAATATGCAAGATTAGCTACAAACAATTAAGACACCATTCTCAAATGAAATAAAATGACCTACCACAATACCACAGCAAAAATACACAGGAAATTAAACACAGTATAATTCGATAAACAAGATACACAGAAGCATGTCAAAAAAGACGAAAAAAGGAAAATTGTTCATACCCCAACATTGTTCATCTCCCAGAGCTTATGAACCCCGTAATCCACCGCCTGCAACCAACAAACATAGAGGTTAAGAAAAACATCGAACTGAGCCACACCCATCTGGGTTGTCAAATCCGTTAAACTGATCCGATATTTTTCAGATCCAATTGAAATAAACCAAAATCTACACAAAAATGTAAAAAGGACATGAGAGAAAAGACTGACCCTTTCGCCGAGGAGAGCGCCAGCGATGACAAAGGTAACGTAAACAGAGTTACGGCGCATAATAAGTCTGTAAAATCCTTCCATAACCCCGCCGCCGCTTCTTCTAGCTGATGTTCCCTCCATTTCTAATAGTTAATCTCTTTCTGGGGTTTGCTTAGATCTGCTACTTTTTTGAAGAAATATGGAGAAATGCGATAATAGCTTTGGACTTCGTTCTGAAAACAAAGCGTTTCTACCCCTGTATATTAAGCTAGGGGTTTTCACAGGGATACCCACAAAAACAAAATTATTTACCCTAAACTATTTACCCTTGTCTACCCATTTATTTTCCTACCTATAAATTAATTACATTTCCTACCCATAATAGATTTTATGGGGAATTTTTTCTTTATTCTCCAATTCTTTTTTATTTCTATGCTTTTTTTCTTTTTTCTTTTTTTTTCTTTTCTCCTTTTCTTTTTTTTCGTTTTCTTCTTATTTTTTTCTTTTTTTTCTTTTCTAATTTCATTTAACTTCTTTTTTTTATATTCTTTTTCTCTTCATAATCTAATTTCATTTGTTGTTTTCACTATTCTTTTATTATTCTTTTTTTATATTATTACTAAAGAAAAATCAAATTGTGTACCAATTAAATGTAGCTAATACAACCAAAAAAATATTAACTAACATATGATACCAGTATAGTATATAGCTATACCAACAGGGTATACAATTGTACGCAATGAGTTAAAAAAAATTAATTTAATTATTAAACTAAAATAATATCAGTTGTCAATAAAAAATTTAAAAAATTCTAAAAGGATCTAATTGTAAGAGTATACCGTTACATCATATAGCGTACAATAATTCTTTTTTTTTTTTTCATTTTCAATGTGCCCCTCACGCTGGGTAAAACATGCCTTGAGGTGTTTCATGTGGAGCAGTGTTTGGGTAGGGTCGCACATTGCAGCGAAGTTATGTGGAGGTATGACCTTGCGGGTTAGATTCGTGTGTTCTGTTCCTATGATGTGAGATGGGTTCTCAACCTTGTGTTGTGGTGGTACTGGTAAGCTTGCGGTACAACTCTTTCATTGAGTTAGTTTCATGATTGGAGTATGCTCGGATTGTTTCTTATTAGTGCACGGATTGCGCAAGTTGCGGCTTTAGTCTGTGTTGAGGTGTCATGTCACCAGGGTGGTTATGTTGGATTAGATGAGATCCTTAGGGTCTTTAATGAATACTAACGGATTCGATTTCAGCATGTTGGGAGGATAAATATCGATGTTCGGCTCAGAAATTTGCTATGGTCCTTGCCAAAGGAGAAGTAGCCTCATGAATGGTTGATTTAAGAAATGGTTATGGTTTATTGCGTGTTTCATTTAT